CATGGCCACAGCCAGGCCAATCACTGTGATGATCCCAAAAGACAGAAGCATGGTACCCACACCAGCTGCACCACCTGCCATATCAGGGATTCTGGTGCCATTGAAGCTTGTGGTTTCTGGGCTGAGGGTGGTGGTCTCCGTGGTAGACCCTTCAGTGGCAGGTTCCAAGTCAGGCTCAGTGGTGGGTGGGTGGCTGCTGAACCAGCTCTGAGTAGCTGGGACCCTGGGATTCATGATGATGCTAGGAAACTGCCAGCGCTCAGTCAACCTGCCCACTGACTTCTGACGTGAGGAGTGTCCAAGGCTGTAGTCCCCACCGTGATGACTACTGGCACAGCCAAATCCTTAACAGGAGACCCCTGTCTCCCTGGGTTCTAGAAAGGCAAGAATAAAAGCAAGAGTTACAGCTAGGGGCATAGCCAGGGATAAATCCCTCTAGAATCTGAAGGCACCGAGGAAGGAAAGATTTCAAGATGGAGCGAAGTCAAGTTCAGGAAGTATTAGGACGCAGGCTTTGCCTATGCTTCCCATATGGATACAGGGGCGTGAAAACATGGTTATATCGATCATACGTGGAAGATGGGAGAAGATGCAGAGGCCTGAAGGGAAAAGTCTACCCTTGCATACATATCTCTGTATTCTCGATTTCTCCCATTCCTACCTCCTCATTTCTTACACCCCACACGTCTCTCATCCTGCGTGGGAAAACAAAAGCCTGCAGCCTTTTCCCTCCTTGATGGGAAACGCCTGCCTAAGATTCAGACAGATCTGATTTTTGAATCCTGAACATGCTGGATAACCTCCCGCAAGTCACCACTTTTCTCCACTAGTTTTTTTCCAAAGTGGAAAATGGTAAGAGCAACCCCATGGTGGTGTAGGGTTAGCGGCACATTAGAATGAACAAGTCCCTCGGGGTTGGGGGGAATTTAGCTGAGCACAGGGCCTGTCCCCAGGAGGCGCCGAGTCAATGTTCCAAATCCCCATTACTACACCACCAAGTCAGGAGGAGGGCGGCACAGGAGTCACTGGACCTGTGTGTCCCAGGCTGTGGTTGGGGCTAGGGTAGGGCTGGTGGGGAGATACTGAGAGGCAGGAAGGATGGAATGAGCTAGGTCCTCTGGCAGGGTAGTCGGCAGGGGTGGTCATATACCACCTCTTTTCACTCCTAGAAGTAAGCCAAGGAGTTACATCTGCAAAGGCAGCAATGAAATGCCCACTTTGAAACGCCTTCTCCTGTTTCCCTCCTGTTTTGGAAGCAGAGGGTGGAGAGCACTCAGCCCCGTGGGTCTTAGGTAAAGCAGAGTGGGAAGCAGTCCTAGCAGTGGTGCAGAGAGGCGGACCTAGAAAAAAGGATCCTTAGCTTATGGCTACATACATGTTTCTCTGTGTGGCTCATAGGTGTGCACAGGATCTTGCAGGTGCAAGATTATGCGGGAGAGGTGTGCACATCACGGTCCCTTAGGAAGGAGCAAAACTGGCAAAGGGTCATGCATGGAGTAGACTTATTTCTTTCTGTCCTCTCCAGCTTAGCTCAGCACGAAGTCTCAGGTTCACTTCTGGGCTCTGCCACTGATCCCAGCCATGACCTTGGACCAGACCCTTAACTTAGCTCCGAGTCTCTGTTTATTATGAGCCAAAGGGAGAGAAGGCATCCTGCTGACTATTTTCTTGGCCTGCCTCGGGGTCCAAAGGGGAAGGGAAGAACACCGGGGTGAAAGTGGTGGGCACCGCGACCTCCTAGAAGCTGCATGCCATTCTCCATCAGGTCTCTCAGTCCTCCCTGCCTCAGTCCCCACGCCCGCCTCCACGACCCTGTTATTCTTCCATTCTTGCTCAGAAGCAGCCGATCTCAGGCACTTACTTAATCCTCTCCGGAGCGCGGAGCTCAGTCTGAGAAGCTAAGGGTGGTAGCGACGGGCGGGCGGGAGGCGTGGGCGGGGGGAACACTCAGGCCCGGGCGTTGGGGGCGACAGGTCCGACCCAAGGTCCGCCTTCCCTGAACGCAGGGATCAGCTAGTATTAGCCTGCACCGGCTGACAGCCTGAGCTGGGGTGGGCTGGGCCGGGACCATGGAGGGGGTGGGGCTGGGATGAGCAGCCTCGGGGGATCCCCAGGAGCCGGAGTGCCTTGCCTCCCGGCCCCCTCCGTGCCTACGAGCCCTGATTGGGTGCCAGGCCGAAAATTCGACCAGCATTGGTCTACTCGCCTGTCGCTCGGATATAGCTCCGCCCCCAACGAGAACTGGGAGCTGAAACCCTTTTGAACTGCCAGAAGAGATTCTCAGAGACTACCTCTGACCCTGGTGGCCTGCCGGAAGTTGGGCAGCGGACCGTAGGTGGCCAGATCCTTTCTGGGCCAGAATTCGGGTCCTGGCCAGCTCCGCCCGCACTGGGACAGACTTGTAAGCCGAAAATGCATAGGTGCAGAGGTTTGGCAGAGCTCTAGGGGAGTCTTTGAAGCCCAATTGAACGCTGGCTCAGTCTTCTACTGAGTTTATGTCCTTGAACAGCAAACTGCTTCTCTTCCTTTGTCTCTGCTTCTCGTTTAGATAGCAACCCTGATGAAAGGGCTTTTTTTTTTTTGCTAAATTTTTGGTAAATGATTCCAACTATGGGGCTACAAATGAAGAATCTTCCGTCCAGAGATATTGACAGCAGAATGGAATTATCTGAGTGACATTATAATGATGTGCCCTGACCCAAGCAAGCCTACCTATACCCCTCATAATAGCTTCCATCCACAGCAAAATTCATGTCAGGACAGAGGCACTAATTCCCTCTACTCCAGACTTATATCCCCAGCCCTTTAAAACTACCCCCACCCCATCCCATCCCGTCCCATAGACAAAGTATCACACTATGTCCAGGATGGCCTGATACTATGTAGCCCAAGCTGCCCTTGAACCACGGCAATCCTCCACTTCTTGGGTGCTGGGATTTTGAATTTTAATGGATTTTTATGTGTAAGGGTGTTTTGTCTGCATGTATATCTATGCATCATGTGTGTTCCTGGTGCCTGAGGAAGCTATAAGAGGGCATTGAATCCTCTGGTACTGGAGTTGTAGACTGCTGTTAGCCTCTGTGTGGGTGCTGAGAATTGAGCCTAGGTCCTTTGGAAAAGCAGCTGGTGCTCTTAACCACTGAGCCATTTCCCTGGACTCCCATGTACTGGGATTTATAGGTGTGCACCAGGACACCCGGTCCAGCCCCCACATCATGACTTATTATTAGTTATGAATGCTTGGCCTTAGTTTAGGCTTGTTCCACTTGCTCTTAAAACTTAATATTAACCCGTTTCTCTTCATCTACGTTTTGCCTGGGACTTTTACCTTTCTTTCCTTCTGTATGTCCTACTCTGTGTCTGTCTGTCTGGCAGCTGCCTGCCTGGCTGACCCCAGCGCCTCCCTCTCTTTCTCCCTTATTCTCTCTCGAGCCTAGATTCCTTCTTCTACTTACTCTCTCTGCCTGCCAGCCCTGCCTATCCCTCTACTGCCTAGCTATTGGCCATTCAGCTTTTTTTTTTTTTT